GGGGGCGGAGCCACTGGGACTGCCCCAGCGGCGGGCGGCGCCTGCAGGCACCCAGCACCGCTGTAAATCATGCCTCCTTAGAAAGGACAATAGGAATCTGCAGGGAATCTGCCCCCAGGGCAGGAGGAAAGCCCCTGCCTGCTCCCTGCCAGAGGGACACAGGGAGCCAGTTTGTATTTTCCATGCTCATTGGCCCAGCACGTAACATCCAAAGACCAAATCTCACTTCAAGACATAGGAAAGGCCACTATAAAGTTTAGTCCTTTCATTAAACACAATGCTCTTTGCAGCTACTCTGCCAAGACCACTCAATCCTGCAAGTTCTGCTGCGGGAGTCTATAGCTAACATGCTAGGAGCAGCCAAAAGCTTTGGGAGGGGAGGAAGGTTTTAGGAATGCTATTTAAGTTTTCAGTGATTCCATATAATGACAGGATATTCTTGTCTGGCAGCGCAACGTAAAACCAAACACCACGGTCCCTGTCTCAACCTCTTTCTTCTTGAAAGCTCAGGCCAAAGATGGGGTTAGTGCAGGTGATGTGATACGGGACATCAAAGCTTGCGAGTTCCTGAACTGCTGGAAAGGCTGATCGAGGTCTGAGCCCAGACTCTTGAGGCTGAAGATCATGGCACTGGGACAAACCATAGGTCTTAACCCCAAAGAAACACCAGAGCAGAGTGCAGGCCAGTTCCAAAGATCTGCAGCCAGGTCTGGGCTGGGCCTACCTTGCCTTTCAGGTGCACCTCAGTAGGATTGACGGTGGTGGACATGAGATAGACAGCATACTCCTGCTAGTGGAAACATTTGTAGGGGCCCATCCTGAAGCCCTCCTATTCCCCTCGACCTTCCAGCTTTAGCTGACTTTTAATCCAAAGCCTACATAGCATCCTTTCCCATGACCAAGATGCTGGAACATATCCATCCAACCATATTACATGCTAGACAATGAGAGTTGGGCAATGAGCAGTGAAAGGATTCAAGCTGTTTGGCTTTTAAGCATTCAGTTGCACAGTTACTCCCTGCTTAGAGACTCGGATGTCCCATGGTAGCCTGCGAGAAGCCTCTTTTGACTGCAGACTGAGAAGGAGCTCAGGGCGCCAGTTCGCAGTCAAGGGGGTCACTCACAAAGCAAAGGGTCAGCAACTCAGTCCTGGCGAGTGCAGCACCATCCAAGTGCAGGTCACTGCGGCAGTGTTAGGTCTCCCTGCTTTCCCATGCCAGCAGATTTCAATTGTCTTAGCTTATTAGGTTTGACAATAGTGCAATGAATGGAGAGTTTGGAGGTAGTTTCATCTTTATAAATACATTTATAAATACATTCTCCAGTTGTTCAGACTTGTTAGCCTAGGTAGGGTACACACGTCCTCTCTTGCTACAGACAAAAAACATTGTTCTGATCTTTCTTATACTGGCTTACGTCAGAGGTAAGTGATGTTAGTGGAGATAACAGTGCGAGGGACAGGAGAATCAGAGCTCATATACAAATGCGAATCAGCCTGATGAGAAACAAGGTTTACACACTATATATTTCCTCTATCAGGTGAACTGCAAAGCAAGATTTTATAGATTTTTTTTTTTTTTCCCCTGCCTTTTGATCAGTCTCTTTGACTCTCTCTCTCTCTACATTAGCTGAAATAGAAATTTTAAACTACTGGTATAAAAAAGCTGAAGTACTGCTATATTCCTACGTGTGCCATATCCCCTTGGTGGAAAGTGCCAGCATAAACAATACGCAGCTAGATATCTATATATCTCTATGTATATGAATGAATACTGTACTTATATAGTATATGACCAGAGGGCATGTTAGGGCTCCTCATTGAACATTGAACACTCAACCTGTGATTTTTAGGCACAGCTTATTAGGAGAACAGACAGGACAGCAAAGCCCCTAGGTCAACTATTGTCTTTCTTGCTTCTTTATGATGGATAAGCACTGCCTGGAAGACTTGAACCAAGTGAGTTTGGGGAGACCATCAACCTGGGGTTGTTCATAACTGGGGTGATGAACAACTTGGCCCCATCCCAGAGGGCCTGGTGGAGACTTTCAGAAGGCTCGAAATGCAGAGTGCTCTCAGCCTGAAGGTCGCCGCCTCTCCTTCACGCACCCCTCTCTCCTGGCCAGAGGATTAAGGGACAAACACTGATTATGTTACTCACCTCAGCAAAGTACTTGTTTATCTTTACCTTGGGGCTATTCCCAGGTGTAAAACACACACAGTTTCACGCTGCATAAAGTAACAGCCTGCACAGGCCCTGCAGCTCCAGATCCCTGCAGCTCCAGATCAGTCACCGCTAAGTGCCATGAACTTCTATAGACATGAAGAACAAATGAAAAGTTGCTCTACTGCCTTTCCCAACTGGCACTGTCTCCGGACCTTCCGATTGCCTGGGCAGTCTTCACTCCTCCTGCTGTGGATGCCCATCTGTTCTGATGTGCCCCTCTCTAGATGGTCCGAGAGGCACAGCTTACGCAGGCAGAGCAGGCAGACCCTGCAAACGGCACTACGGACGTGCTCAAGCGCGCAGGTGTTTCACAGGCACATACACATCTCAATGCATCAAGCAACAGAGCTCTGGGGGAAAAAAAATAAATAATGTAGTGGTACTTAGGCTTATACAGAAGCCAGTGAGGCTGAGCTCATACTGGGGCTGGTGGGCTGGTGTCAGTAGTTTACGGGAAGTTTCCCTTGAGTTATGAGAGAAAGGGCTAATCCTATGGCTGCCACTCCTTCATGGTGCCAGCGCAGTCCTTGATGGGGCAACCCTTTCCCTCATCCCCCGGTTATGGTTTTCATGGTTCTCTTTGCCCACGAATGGGAACTTTTTATCTTCAGCTAGTGGAATAAACACATAAAAAGTTAAGAAAACATTGCAGCAGAGGAAGGATTGCAGCAATGAAGAAGAGCAGGCAGCAAAGCCTCTCCCATTCACCTGTAACTCCTCGTCTGCCCCAAGTTCACAGTGATTGAACCACTGAATGAGGTAATGCCCCTTGTGAAGAAGATGTCAGCTTGAGTTTGAGTGTCTTCCTTGCAGGGACAGGTAAGACACCGGCATGTGGAGGTATCACACACAGGACCCCACGCACAGGTGTTCCTGGGCTCCTCTGTCAGAAGTAGGCACAACTGGCACGTGAAAGGCACAGGCAACCCTGAGGAGCAAAGTCAGCCTAACCCTGCCAACTATGCACTCAAAAGCAAAAGGTCAGTACGCTTGGATAAGGAACCAGCAAAAAAACTTCTTTATTTAAAAAAAAAAAAAAAAGATGCACATGTGGGCAGCACTGAGTGTTTCTGCAGGCAAGTCTGTTAAGACCGTCCCTCTCTTCGCAAATAGCTCTTTTTCTCCAAAGTGTGAATTAGACATTCGTATTAAATGGGTCTTAATACACATAAAGACAAGGAATTGTGCTCTGCCCTCATCCAACTGTGAGTACCTCAAGCTGATCAGTCACGTCAAAGCAGCCAAAACCCTAGCCTTGCCAGCCCCCAATAATGGTAAGGACCCTCCCTTGCAAGTGATACATGGCAAAACCACAAATTTATATACCACCTCCTCCCAGTCCCGGGGCATGGGGCCAGGGGCCACAGAAGAGGGGTTTGTTTGGTGTGCTGTACCACAGGCCACTCCATGCTGTTCATGGGCAATGATCAAGGAGAGAGAAACCCATCAAGAGCCATATACTACAGCTATCGTACAGAAGCATGGAGAAGAAAGCTTCTGCCTTTGCAGCAGACTGAAGGACACTGATGGAGAGGCTCTGTGAATCAGAAACTGCTCTGAGCTGACGTCACCTCTTTGGGAAACAGCTCCAGAAGGGGAGGTCAAGGGAGGCACACTGGAAGTGACAGATTACTCCATCTTTTCAGGGTCAGCAGTTTTCATGATGTTTCTGAGGAGCGGTGAGAGACTCCGGTGCTGCCCTTGGGAAAGGAATGGCCCCATAGTGAAACCAGAGATCTCAGCTGCATCCCATCCCAGAACAGAGCTGCTCAGCCAGATGCCAACATGCACACACAGCCAAGGACACCGGCTGCTTCTCCATGTCTGTCCACACATCATACCTCAGAAATGATTGATTCATTACCGAGACCAAACAAAAAAAACATTGCCTTTTATTCCCAGAGAAATAATTAATTAGACAGGAACATATCATTTCCCAGCTGCCGCTGACTTGCAGTGCTGTGAAAACAGGCCAGGATTGTGTCTGGATTCCTCTCTGCCCCAGCAAAGCTTTGACTTTGGGGAAGCCCCACACCACACAGCCAGTTGCATGCCGATGCTTAGACTTGGGGAGACTGAAGAGTGAGAGCGGCTCAACAGGCAACGAGCATCAAGGCCCTCCAGGGCAAAGCAAACTGGATCCTGGCTGCTTTTACACCCCAGGTATGTCTATACAATGTCAGTGCAATACCATCTGCTAAAAACTGGAAGCAGCAGAGCAGCAGGAGGATGATTAACCTCAGGAATGAGGCTGTGCCAGCAGGACTGTGTCCTACCCGAGACCCAAGACTCTGCGCAGCACCCCACTGCACTGCAGCATCCCCTGCCTTTGCCCCATTCCCTTGTACCACCGACATCTGGGCAAAGCAGCCCTCCAATGCTCAGTACCCCTTGGGGCCAGCGGTGGGATGGCTCTCACACCTGTTTAGCAGAAGAAGATGTCTAATGATGATGTGGACCATGGGGCAGTGTTCAGAGCAGACCCAACTCTCTTGACCCTGCTCCCAGAACGCTCCCTGCCAGCTTTAAAAGGTGCTGAACTATTTAAGGGCAGGGGAGCTAAGGAGCTTCCTTGCAGCTTGAAGACCTATTTCTGGAGTCAGATTACAAGCAGCTTTTGGGATGGAAGCAAAGATCCTTCTGGTGCCTCGTCCCCTCCTTTCCGCTCCCCCTTCACGCCTTCTCTTGCTGAGCCCCTGTGATGAAGGACATCAGCAA